TTCGGTCTCAGAGTGAGTATATCAAATACATTTGAAATCAAGTCTCGGTAGATTGAAAACGTTAAAAATAAAGTCCTTCCTCATACACTTAAGCTCTTGACACTTCCTTGCGGTAAACTTGATTAGTGTCACCCAGCCCGTCAACTATTCTCGTAACGGATGTCTTTCGGTAATAATATGTAATTTTACATTTCCCAAAAATCGCTTCTGTGATTGTTCCCCGTTTGCCAGATGTTGACCAAATAGACATTTGAGAAAAACCGTTCAGAAGATAATAATAAATTCATTTTTTCATTATGCAAATTGCTACATTTGCTTTACAATGCAGAATTTATTAACTTCAATCAACAATCTGGCTTGTAGGCATTGACCTTTCAGGAAACACCTTTAAAGCTTGCTAACAGACATTGTTTGAAAATGCTTCTACTCGGAATAAAAATCGCTAGCTGATGTACATTATTTTGCAAATAAGTCGATTTCCGTATGTGTACAAAAATGAAACTTTTCTACTTAAACACGATATTTTTACGCAATTTGAATGCCGGTCTATCAGCCCATGACCATACAAAGAGGTGAAAGTAATTACTAATCAATTCGAAACGAGTTGCACTGAAAATTGTGACATTCATTTGATCACCAGTTCATGTTTTTTTATTGTTTGAAGCCCGTAGAAATTCATTGGGCTAAAACACTGCATAATTGGGTTATTGACTTTACTGTTTGTTTATAACCGCTGTATTGGTTGATCAAACCTTTTTTTTTCTTGTTAGCAGACAATTTTCAATCAATTTGGCAAATTCGCATCACGCCGATATCACAGACGAAATTATTTAACCGGGCCGCTCCTCAAAGTAATCAGATTAAATCAGCGTTATTTACTTGCCGAGGCCTGGCCTGACATTTCCAATTTTAATTATAGAAATATCCAGGCTTGGCTTCTCCCAAACCAAACTCATATTCGGAGCCTTCAGCTTGAGGTTGCGTTTCCTCTAATTTGCTCTCAGCATGCTAACGCTGTCCTCACTGGAAATCGAATAAACACATTGGGCTTGTAATATATCTTACACAGCTTCCATTAGACCAAAGAGTAGCAGGAAACACTCGATCACTTAGAAAAAGCGGCATTTTCGGGTTTGAGTAAAAAACGAAAATTGTTGGCACGTAGAATACATCCTGCTTTTTAATTAAATGAGCTAAATAAAGTGGCTAAAACAATTACCGAATTAAACGTAGTTCTTCATGCGTTTTTAGATTGTTATGGTTTTCATAACGTTTTCCAGGTCATGTTCATATTGATTTCTTAGAAAAAACCACTTTTTTTAAATTAATGTTTCAATTAATTTGAATGTGGGATGGTTAGTATCAAAACACAATTGCAAGGTGTGGATGGAAGCAGCAAAATGTTCGGTTCAGCCGAATCACCAATTTGGTGGACTAAATTGAAAAATTTCTAAAAATCAATGTTCAAACTCGATTGAAATGAGTTTTACGAGTTTTCAACAACAAAAATGTCCTCTCTAAGGACAGCTAAAAATAATTTGTCGATTTGATCTAGTTTGAGAGTGACGAAGCGTCGAAGATTGGTCTGCAAAAAGCGTTGAAAGTGGAAGTCGGATTTCGCAAATTCCTAAAAAATCTGCTAAAAATGCGATTTTAATGAAAAAATTCCCCAAAAATCAAGAAAATTATTTCTTATTTTTATTATTTCGCAAAAACCATCTTAGTTAGAAAGATGATTGTTGCCCCACTGGAAAGCATGCACTTTCTTCTATCAGTGCTCACACTCTCTTTGAAATCGATAAATTTGTTGATTTCTTGGAAATTTTAACACCCGCAGCTGATTGCGCGCCTCGAAAATTAATAGCGATGTAAACCTGTTTTAAAAAATTATTTTGCAAAGACCAGCGCGGATAGAAAAGTGATTTTTACGCCACTGGAAAGAGCAAACTTTTCTCTATTCTTCCGGAAAAGCTCACGACAATTGCAAATTTGCTGAATTTTGGCTATTTGTTCCGCAACTATGTGCTAACATTGACAGAAAAATTGACCTAAAAAATATATTTCGCAAAAACCAGCTTAGTTAGAAAGATGCTTGTTGCGCCACTGGAAAGCATGCACTTTCTTCTATCAGTGCCCAGATTCTCTCCCCATTCGATAAACTGGCTGATTTTTTTGGGAATTTTAACACGCGCAGTTGATTCATTTGTTTGTGTCGCAAAATCTGATTTCAAAAATTTATTTTGCAAAAACCAGCCCAAGTTGAAAACTGATTTTTAGGCCTCTGGAAAGAGCAAACTTTCCTCTACTATTCCTGCGAAGCTCGCTGCTATTGCGACTGTGCTGATTTTTTGGCGAATTTTTCCGCAAGTATGTGCGAATATTGAATTGGCTTATAAATCGGTTAAAAAAATTATAAAACCCAGGCCAGTTAGAAAGATGCTTGTGGCGCCACTGGAAAGCGTACACTTTCTTCTATCAGTGTCGACATTCTCTCTGCAACCGGTGCATTTGCTGATTTTTGGCGAATTTAAACAAAGGCAGCCTTTTAATTGAATCGTTTTGCAAACCGTAACCTTCAGCCAAATGATGCCAGTGTGAGACCATTTTGAATAGTGCAAGCCAATTAACATAATCCCTATTTAAATACTTTCTTTTCAATGTAACCAGCCATAATGACGAATTTTATTCCCGAAAGAAAACCCGTACGATTACATTACTTCACGTTGTGTCATCGTGCCTTTGTCTACTTCCGTCTAAGGGCAACGACAAAGGGGTTGAGAATTCAAGGGTGGCCGCATAATCTCATTTATCACGAGACCTTTTACGTTTTTCTAGATTCAAACCCCTGATAGACCTGTTACGTGACTTTTTTACTCAGATTGTTTGATTAGAAGGGGACGCTTCCAGTTAAGGGTGTTTCTTTTTGAAAAAAAAGGGTATGCATGTATATGTTTTCAGGCCGCAACGCTGTGTTTTCACTCAAATTAAAAATTCAATATCGTCCTTAGGGCTAAAATGGTTTTCCCCGTTGTATTCCATTCGCCCCCATTTTCTTTTCAGACTTCTCGGCGCTTTTTATCCGGTTTTCCCGGCGTGTCATAATTTAAAATACATTATGGCATCAACCGCGTCTTTATCGTTTGGAGTTATGAGTAAAACCCCTATTGGGAATTGAGAGTTTTATGCGTTTGGATATTTGGAAACGCTAGTAGCTTTTTGTTTAGTGTTCCACTCCAGATTTCCTTTAATTTTCCCGATTTTATTGAGATTTGTTAAATCATTTCCTTTCCCAGCATATGTATAAAATTGCTATGATAATAGCGATTGAAGCGTATTTTGGGAGACGATTGCAGTCTACACAAAATAGCTCTCTTACTGACGAATTGTAACGTCAGCCGTTTTAGTGAAAAGGGGCATTTCATGCTGAAAGCCCATAAAAAGTACATAATAACAATCAATAACTGTATAGGTATTCTTAATTTGCAAAAACCATCAAAGGCATTTGAATTATTCACTAGCAGCTAATTTTGATTGGAAAACTGACTGTTGCAAATAAATACTAAACTGAACCAAATTGCCTTATGTTTACTCATGATTTTCGTCCCAAAATATTACTTTTCTCTAAAACGGCTCAAGTTAGAGCTTTGGACCAAGAGCAGCTTCTTGTAAAGAAAACAATGGCTTTTGAAAATATGCTTTTAAATCCCGACTTCCTCCAGTGGCGTAGAAGTTGGGGGCAAAATAACCTCGCAGTTCCCAAAAAATGCGACTTAACCCTTATACAGTGGCTATAAGAAGGATGGTAAAATGTGCACAAAAGATCCTTCGTCTATCTGAAATCGTTCCTGAAATATAGTGAAAACCTTGAAAAAGCTGCGTTCAAGGGGCTACGTTATACAGTGCTTATTCCATTTTTAAACCTACAAGACGCTCACAGAGCGTGTTTTTTGGCGATTTCATTTAAAATGATACAAATCATGAATGAAACAAGCGTTGATCTGTGAGAAGTGACCCCAATGCAAGTGAGTCTTTCTTGGGTCTATCCAACGCAAAGGAGCAAACATTGACCCTAATAAGCTTGATGTAGGTAAGGATATGCTCTAATTATTTATTTATATGAATGTATATGTAATAGAAGTTGACTACCTACTGATAAACACTAATACCTGGCGGTAAAACACAGCCATTGCAAAATGCTTAACATTCTGATGAACCCAATCGGCAGGGCTTAATGAATGTAATTAAATGATAAAAACATGAGCTCTCAAGACGCAATAAATCGAATGACAACCTACAATACCATCATTATACACCACAAATCCAATAATTAATCGGGCAGAGGAACGCAGATGGAATGCCAAGTGAACTATACTGGCTCATAGAGGATTGTGGCCCTACTTTTTAAAGTCAATTTATTAACAATTGTCTAACAATGAGAAACCAATTAAAACGATTAAATGTGCATTGAAATTGAGTTTGGGCCAAAAAACTGTAAGCCAGGAAGTCGTTTTGCAGGATAAACACTGGGGCAAGTAAGCAATCGGTTGTAAACTGCAAAAGCCAAGCTTACAGAATGATTTTGACTTACCTTCGAAATTTTGAAGGATTACTGGTGCATCTGGCACAAATTTAACACATTTCTTAGTCAAAATACTCGAATTTAATTAAATAATTACACACAGATGCAAAACAATCTGTTCCCGAAAGTTTATCAGTTTCGGACTGCCATTACTTTTCAACAGTTTTGACGTTTTGAGGAAGCCAAATTAGCTCACATTATCCGTCCTACAGCTATGCAACCGGATATACACATTGAATCAAACTGGAAACGAAAATATCTTCGGATGTTCTGAGGTCATACCGACCTCAGAACATCCCAGGTCTTTTGATCAGAAAATCTTCAAGTATAACGCAATTAACTAGCTGGAAAAATTTAAAAATCCCCCAGAATAATTTGCCATCTAGTGGCAAATATCTCAAAAATCACCGACAATTTGTTGGTGATTTCCATTGTTTGTTGGCAACGAGCAGAGAAAAATACTGTTTTCTCTGTTTTCCAACCATAACCTAATTGTTTTCACACGGAAAGTGTGCTTATGTTTTGTGTAAGTTGCCTTCGATTAAACCACTGATAAATGGAGAAAGCTTTAGAAGAACTGGTCAACTTTGTGCGAATTGGGGCCCGATTAGACCTCAAAACCGTAGCACTCGAAAACATTTTAGGTAAGTGTTGTTTGGATCTAGATTTTCAATTATTTACTCAAAATCTCACCTTCCTTAGATCTCACGGGCTCTCCGGATGGAGTTGCGGCTGTTTACAATTACCCGCCGCTATTGTTCGCCCTTTTAACGCTTCTACAAGACAAATCGGCGCTAATTGCAAAAGACGTTAGCCTAAGTTTGATTAATATTACTGCCCAGGAAAAGGGGGCTGCGGCCGTCTTGGAGTTGGATCTGAGCGTTGAATGTCCTCCCTTACAACTGCCTCCGGAGAATATTGTGAAACAATGCCTAAAAGAGATTTTCAACAAAGAGAGCAAAATCGCTGATCAGTGCTGTATGATCCTGTCCAACGTGTCCAGACTGAGGCATTTAATAGAGAAAGTCATAGATTTAATAGAGGAGAGTGGCCACACATTTGATGAACTCATTGAAATTTTCACAAAAAATGAATATAACAAATCAGCCAAACTTCACTATTTGGGGCCAGTTTTGTCCAATTTGACCCAAAGCAGACGAGTCCGGACGTTTGTGTTGGATAAAAGCAAATGTGTCATCCAAAGGCTGCTGCCGTTCACTGAATATAAGGACTCAATGGTTAGGAGAGGTGGAGTAATCGGCACCCTGAAGAACTGCTGCTTTGAAACGGACTATCATGAATGGCTGCTGAGTGAAGACGTAGATATTCTATCCAGATTGCTGCTCCCTCTTGCTGGACCTGAGGAGTTTGACGAAGAGGACAACGATAAACTGCCTTTAGATCTGCAATATCTTCCCGAAGATAAAACCAGAGAAGGGGACCCGGACATAAGGCAAGAAGTATATAAGTCAATCGATAAAGCTTACAACTTGAGATTGTTTTAGGTGCATTTTAATCGAGGCCATCACCCAGTTGTGTTCAACGCGGGTGAACCGAGAATACATTCGGGATAAAAATACCTACATTATCTTAAGAGAACTGCACAAGTGGGAGAAAGACCCAAAAGCCTTGCTAGCTTGTGAAAATTTGGTGGATATCCTAATAAGGTATATAATAATTAAACTAGGTGTGGGTTTGGGAATATTAACTAAAGTGGGTGTTTCAGAACTGAGGAAGAAATAGGGGAAAACAACCTGAAGGAACTGGAGATTCCCACTCATTTAATTGAGAATTTCAACCAGATAGCCGAAGAAGCATGATGTGATGAATCAATGTTATTTTAAGTTATGTAAGTTAATTAGAAATAATCATCAATACCTGCTGTTTTCACTTCAAACCCATGCACGTTTTTCAGATGAGAACTCAAATAGTTCTTATCGATAAACCGTTTATCACATTCAAGGCACCTAAAGGGTTTCACTCCAGTATGCGCCCTAATATGTCTTTGCAGTTTCTGATTATCGAAGAACTGACTAGGACAGATGTGACACACAAATTTCTTCACTCGTATTGGCGGTTTCTTCGTTCCCAATCCATGAATCTTATACAGATGACTATCCAACGACCTTTTATCGCGATAGTGTTTCAAACATCCCGCACATTTGTAGAAGGCAATGTTTGAGTGCAGTTTCACATGCTTTTTCACCTCGTAATTGCTGATGAATGTTTTCCCGCAAATGTGGCATTCAAAGTCTTTGCTGCCTTCGTGCCGTTTGATGTGCTCATTGCAATTGCTCTTCATTGGGAACTTTTTCCCGCACACCGAGCAGGAGTACTTCCATTTACTTGGGTCTGTATGAACCACATAAATGTGAGTTTTAAGGTTCTGGCTGGTATTGAAGTTCTTCGGGCATTTATCGCAGCTGTATTTTCTTTCATTATCATGGAGTTTTTCATGTCCGCTTAAGTCGCGCTTTGTTACAAACGACTTGCCACAAGTGGTGCATATGAACGTTCTTTCACCATTATGGTACTTTTTGTGCTGGATCAGTAATGTCGAGGAGGAAAACTTGTTGCTGCATTGATCGCACCAATAGGGTTTTATATCCTTCCTGTTCATTAAATGAACTTGCATCGAATGCTGGAGAATGTGTTTAAGCAGCGCGAATTTCTCCCCACAAATTTCGCATTGAAACTTCGATGATTCTTGCTGCCGATGGTGCTCAGCTTTCTTATGCCTTAGAAGTTCTTTGTTGGTGCTGAAGCTTTGCTCACATAGCTGGCAAGTTTTGTCGTGCTGTTTTTTAAAGTGGGTCTCTAGAGTTCTTTGGGATTTAAACGTTTTCCTACAATGGGGGCATGTAAGCTCAAGAGCTTGAAGTGGCTTTAAGCCTATGTCCTTTATTTCGGACTCTTCCCCAAATGGGAGATGCTCTGCTTGAAAGGCATCATCAAGCTGATCGTCCAAGGAGGATTTATCAAAGGCCATTCGAGATGATTCGTTTTTTAAACACAACAACTTGAAGTTGTAAGCGTTGTCCAGTTGCTCATTACATTCGGGGCATATGGAGAATATGTCCGACCAGTCCTGGAATATTCCACAGTGACTATTGCGAAAAGATGTACTTAATGAACTTACCAGCTTGGGCGCGACAAAGTTGAGTTTTGCGCTCAATTTCAAAGAGTTCTCATCTGGGGTATTTATTGCCTTTAAACCCTCACTTGTCCTGAAGCAAATGCAGCAGACACTGCAGGACATACTAGTTAAATGTTTTTAAAAATAATTGTTTTTTGTTGCTATTTACATGGTGGATGTTTTGACTAGTTTGAAGGTTACCATGCTCGAAAGATGTCAGATCATGTGTATGCGAGATTAGTGGATTTGGCATCCATGCTGGATGGACTGGTGTTAAGAATTTTGAAAATACTTAATTAATTTTCTGCAAATTACATACTTTTGGTATGTTCATTTGCTTCACGTCGCTAAAGCGTTATATATAAGAATTATATTAAAGAAAAACTGAATTTAAGTGTAAAGTACACATCTAAGCGGCCAGCAACAAAATAATCAATATATAAAAATAAATTCATTCTAACTGGAACTTTTGGACTACAGAGTATAATTACAGGAATTCTTACATTTCTTCAAAAAACAAACTTAATTTCTATACGTAATATGTATTTCGAAAAAAAAGCAAAAATATTGCCTTAAAAGTCTCTTCTTAGCTTAAGCTTAGCTTCTTTAAGCTTAAAAAAAGCAATTTATGAAACTCTACGTCTTGAGAAGACTTTGCGATTTTCGAATACGTACAGAAAATGTGAGTTTTAGCTTTCACTTTAAAAACATGTAGAACATTTACAAAATTGCCCGTTAACTTAGTTCACTCTGTATAATGACGAATACTTAGTAATTCAATAATACATAATTACAATGCATTCCACATAAATATGCATATTTACTTAGGGCGCTCGAACACTCGAAAGTGAATATTTGATATTGCCATTACTTGATTTGAAACTGATTTTGCCATTTAAGAACGCAGCTGGCATTGGTTATCGCTGTCGCACACATAGGAGTCTGTGAGAGATGCAACATGGTCTACGTGTTGCTACGTGACAACATGGTACCTTTGCAACTTAAACATAGCCTTTTTCGTTGTCAGCTAGATAGAGATTAAAAAATGATGAAAAAATCAGTAAACTGAAGGAATTCCGGCCTGAAACTTAAATCGCTTCCGTTGCGAATATAACTCTGAAGATGCTAGCGAAACGTCAAGATCAAATTCCTCTTCACGCCGGCTGAATAATCCGAAAATCTGTTCTCGACAAGAAATCCTTAACAAAAATGGGATGAATCGAACATTTTTGAAACGTTTTGTGGCTTAAGTGTTGAAAAACCATAAAATTGTTTTAGCGGATAAACATCCACTTTGACCACAATCCTCAATTAAACAATTGCAAAGTTCCATAAATTGCCGTCTTCCTGATGAAACCGAATTCTAATTGTTTTTAACAACTAAACAACCAACAAGTTTACTGATAATCATAATTAGGCCGTAAAATGCGTGTAAAACTCGAACTTTACAGACAAAAGGCGCAAATAACATGTGGTTTTACAGTGACGCTCCTTTAACATATGTGCACTTTGAATGTACGAAAATCCATAATGCACTCGTAAATATTCCCTCAATTTTCGATGTTTAGAACATCCAATGCCGGGAAACATTTTATCTATTGGCTATGGTTCGATCGATAAGGCTTTCCCAGTGAAATGATGCGGAAAATGTTGGCAAAAAATATTTCCAATAGTATTAAACACATTTTACCTCCCACAAAGGGACATTTTTACATTTTCTGAAGTTTTGTACTGAAACATTTCGAAAACTGCCTTATTCTTGTTTTCATGTCTTCAGCTGTTGCAGCTCATGTTGGGGCCTGTTTGTAAACTTCAGCCTTAACATGACAATAGGAAAAAGTCAATTAGTGTCAAGTCGGGTGTTTTAGGTGGCCTTTCAATTGCACCACGGTATCCAATCCAACAATGTCTCAGCTAAATCTTGGTTGCACCACTCTGTATATTTGATTTATTTCGTGCATTGAATACAGTAATAAAATGCAGGAGGAATTACTGAACTCTGAATTCGAACTGGTTCCAAAAAAACTAAATTTTGCTGTTGAAATTCAGTCTGATTGGAATTTTGTTCAATGGCAGACGAGTTTTATCCACTGTAACGCGGCGCACGTCGTTCAGGAAAGCGTCGCGACGCAGGGCGTCGACATCATAACAAAATCAGCTTGTGGGTGCAATTTTGTGTAGTTTTAGTAGCTGCCGCTTACGAAAAATGACCGCCAAGGTGAGTAGTTGCATTTGTTAGCGCAATTAGCGCATTTGCCGGCCGAAATCAGAAAATTACTTCGGTACACATCAATGGCAAATTGAGATGGTCGGCCATCCGGAAATGGATGCTTACGTCAAAACCTGCGAAAATGCTCGGGAGTCGATTGCTGAAAAATTTTCTCAGCTGCATTTTTTTAAATTAAATTAAATTTTTCTGTTCAACCGTTTTACAGCACGACTTCGACATTACTTAGTCGGTTAATTATCACTGCTCTTAATTGAACGTTTAGAGCAAGAAATACCTAATAAAACAATAAAAAAATGCAATTTAATTGACTCTCTTGCATTCTACCAAAAAAAGGTTTCCTCCAACTCAACAGCTACAGGCTCGACCGACTTCCATAAAATGCCTCCGGCCTTCTTGTTCTAGAATAGACTCCCGCAACCTTAAAAGACATTAAATTTGTTATTAAACATTAAAATTATAGCCAGGATGTGAACCATATTTGCGGTTTTATGCGGGCAGAGCTTTTCATACGCGCTAAGAGACGAGATGTGGATGTTCGTGTCGTAAACATTGCATTTGTATATTGGTTTAGTGTCTTGGAGTGTTGATGACCTTTAATCCCAGTGCATCCAGATGTATCAGCCATAATGAAAATTGTACACACTATTTCGCAAAGGATGCATGAAAAGGTATAGAAGTGTTTGAATCTAATCGGACACAAAACCGCTCTTTGGTCAGTAAAACCACTTCACTTAGTTTATTTGTTTTACTAGTTAGTTTTATGCGAAACACTTTTAGCGAAAATCCGATTTTTATCATCAACTGTTTGAATTTTTCTTAAGTAAATTTGAATAAAAAGCAATTAGCGCTTCGAATGTTTGTTTGTCCCAAGCGTTTTGGCAGTGACGTACTAATTGTTCTTTTTCTATAGATGGAAATTTGATGGTATCACGTGAGTCTTTGATCAAATTGTTTCAAATCGCGGAAGTGTGGAAAAATATCTACATTTTGTAAAGCAGTTGCCAGTTTCTGTGAATTTTTTTGAAATCAGTTCGTATTTTATGAAGAAAAATAAAACTTCTACACTTGCATCACGCAATATTTATGACTGAAATGAATGAAAAATAATGATAGTTTTTCAAACAATCGATCTAGAACTTGGGATTTAATGGACTGAAAAAACAAAAATTTCAACAAGAAGTTGAAAAGGGTTTCATCTTTTTATTCTTGTGTGCTTTTTTGTAGCTGGAAAGCGACAGTTTCCAAACCGCTTCGTCGCAATAAAAAGTATCAATCTTTTTCACAGAAAACCTGCATTTTTTGGGCATTTTCCTGTATATTGAATGGAAATGTATTCACATCCGCTGGTGTTTTATCTGGATTCAGCCAGTACAAACCGCCAGTTAATTTGTTTGGCTGGAAATTGAAGCCTTCCAATAAAGCAATCAAATCGAAAACCTAATTGAATTGGATGGAAATAACACAGTTGGGGAGTTTTTTTGATTGGGTCTATTTATACGGCGCGAATGAATGAACGAAAGACGGACAAATTATCAAAAAATGGTTGTTATTCGCCAGCAAAAATCTGGTTAAAAGGCTGCCGATCTGACTTCAGAAAATTGCCAGATTTTGCATAAAAAACCGCTCGACTTAAGGACGTAAAACTTCTATTTTTCCGTTTAGACACTAAGCGCATTTTTGAAGATATCGAGCTGATACTTTGCACACACTTATGGTATTCAATCAGTTTTTGGGTCCCAGAATTTGGCGACTTTTGCGATATTGGTGCCGGAAAAACGACTGAGAATATCGCAGAGTATATTTTTGCAAGCGTATTTATTGGGCTTTATTCTGGTATAAAAACATTTCAGATCCAACTAGGGCTTTGCCCCTTTTTTAGCGTCTGAAAGTTTCCAACCGTCATATCGCCGAAAGGGTTGAACATTTCTGAACAGCTGTAATGACCGTTCCGATAGCCTATGTTGAGGACTATTTTTCAGCATTAAGGTTGTATCAGAAATTCCTAACTTTCAAAAAGCTAGAATCAAGAACATACAATTTTTAGGCCAATTATGCATAACACGCCCTATATCTCTGAAACTTCGAAACGAAGACTTCGTGGGCGATCTTTCACTAAGAAGGTTTTATGCTCAATTTATTACTGTTTCAAAGATTGAAGCGAAAATGTTAACATTTTGAGTTATATGCAAGTTTAAGCCGCATATCGCGAAAATCTTCAGAAATATCTAAAAAGTCATAATGATCTTTTAGAAAGAGCCCTTCGAGAGATTTTCATAGCTCACCAGTTCTGATCCAGAATTCCTAACCTCTAAAGAGATAGAAGCCAAAATGTAGTCATTTTGGGGCCATCAAAGCCTAGAACCCTCCATATCTCCGCAACAGTTGGAAATATTCTATCAGACCTCAGGACCATTTCGATAGCCCCTTTTAAGAGCTATCCTCTGCTGGGCAGGTTTTATCAAGAATTCATTAGCGTTTCAACAGTAGAAGTGAAAAGTCCAAATTTAGACATATGTGCCAGTTTGAGAAAGAATATCTGGGAAACGGTTAAAAATTGCTGATTAGTCGTACTGACCTTTTATCAAGAGCGCTTCGAGAGCTTTCCATACATTACTCTGGTTGATCCAGAATTTCTAACCTCTAAAGGGGCAGAAGCAAAAATGCAGTCATTTTGGGGTTATTCGAGCTTATAACTCCCTATATCTCCGAAACGGTTGGAAACTTCCAATCAGTCAAAAGAACCTTTTTGAGAAGTATTTTTCACTGATTAAGGTCTAGTGGGAATTCATAAGCGTTTCAAAGTTGGAAGCGAAAATGTTAACTTTTTAGGGGATGCGCAAGTTTACGTAGGAAAATTGCGGAAACGATAAAAAATATTAAATTAGTCGTAATAACCGTTTGAAAGAGCGTCTCAAGAACCAACTTTTACTCCATTGGCTTGATCAGGAATTCCTAACCCCTAAAGAGATGGAAGCAAAAATGGCTTAGACGATGGATAAGAGCGGGG